ATGGTAATATTATTAAAAATGGTAAAAAATGGATAGGAGAGAGCATTTAGTACAATATATTGCTAAGTACTTTTATGGCTCATTTGGTAGGCGGTAATGAATCTATTGATAATGGATTTATAGTGTAATTAATTAGTGTCTCATGCCAATGTCCATGTTATTTCTGAATACGAGTAGAATTTAGTTAATTACTAATGACATTGAGTGTATTGCTAATTAGTTTATCAAATGTAAATGGTGGTAGTGGTACCTAGAATCTGTTAATGAATATGATTTGACGCACTGGATTCAAGTTTATGCTATGGGGAAATGATTTCAAGGGAAAGTGCAGGGAAGTGTAGAAGTGGTAGTAGTACAGTATTTCTGGCTCTTTGTGTGTGATTTTGAGTGAATGGTTTTGCTCTTTATGCTTGTCTTTTTGCAATGCTCCTAATATCAAGAGGATTTGAGAAGTGTAATTGTTTCTAGGAAGGATGTTTCAATCTCTTTTTTTTTGTTTTGTATACTTTTTTTTTGGACGAGGTTCAATCTCCTAATACTTTATATTTGTATTGATAGAAACTATAACTCTTCACTGCCCTTTACTCTGCTAGGGATCAAGCTAATGTTGACGCCCTCATGTTGGAAATTGATGGAACTCAAAACAAGTCAAAATTAGGAGCTAATGCCATACTAGGTGTATCTCTGAGTGTATGTAGAGCTGGTGCTGGGGCAAAGAATATGCCCTTGTACAAGCATATACAGGAAATATCAGGAACCAAGGAGCTTGTTATGCCAGTTCCGGCATTCAATGTGATAAATGGAGGAAGCCATGCAGGCAATAACTTGGCCATGCAAGAATTTATGATATTACCACTTGGTGCATCATCATTTACAGAAGCACTTCGTATGGGAAGTGAAGGTCAGCAATTTTGCCTTTGTTCAACATTAAACTTTTAATTTTAAATTTAATTACCATTTTAGTGGATAATCATTTTACAGAGTAACTCCCACAATCAAACATTGGGTTCAGTGCCTGATAATTGATAATGATATACTACTTGATTGTTTAGGCACTATGTTTTACGCCTCTATTGGCTGCTTGATGTCATCATCATCCTTCTATAGTTCTACTGTGTCCGGCTGATTTCACTTGGCTTATTCATGTCAGCCTGATGCCTGTTTTGCTTTTGAGGTTTCTATTGTGAAAATAATACTTACTTTAATACACTGGTTGGCAACAGTTTGAATTATAATACTTGAAAACTTAAAAACATTTCTATTGCAGTGTATCATATACTGAAGGGGATTATCAAAGCGAAGTATGGACAGGATGCTTGTAATGTAGGAGATGAAGGTGGTTTTGCACCAAATGTTCAAGATAACCGTGAGGGACTGATCTTACTTATGGAAGCAATAGAAAAGGCTGGTTACACTGGCAAAGTAAGAGGGCATTTTCTAGTGCTAGTCTTTAAGCTCTTTTTTATACACTAGTTCTTTTTGGGAGGTGTACTTATGAGTGAACTGTGATTATGCAGATCAAAATTGGGATGGATGTTGCAGCTTCTGAGTTTTACACCAAGGATGGGAAATATGATTTGGATTTCAAGAAACAGCCAAATGATGGATCTCATGTGCATACAGCTCAAGGTCTTTGTGACCTCTACAAAGAATTTGTCAGAGATTTTCCTATTGTTTCTATTGAAGATCCATTTGACCAAGATGACTGGAATTCATGGGCTTCACTACAATCTTCAGTAGACATCCAACTGGTTGGAGATGATTTGCTGGTGACTAATCCTACGAGAATAGCTGAAGGGATTAAGAAAAAGGCGTGCAATGCTCTGCTGTTAAAGGTAACCTTCTATTTTCCTTTTTATACTATCTTCCTAGTCTGTCGGGAAAGGTTGTCATGAAAAAGTTTATGCAACACATCAATCATTCAAAACCTTAATCCATGATACTTCTTTATCAATGCAAGTTTCATTATAGACATCTAGGAATGTAAAAGGAATCTTTTGAATGGTAAATAGTTGACTATAAAGTAGCTGGTGGTTGTGATCGACCCATTGTATTTTGACAACAATGCTCATTTCCTTGGCAATAAGCTGATTGTGCTAGTTACATGGAAAGTGTAACAAACAATAGTCATGGGAAAGTTATACTCTCTTCAACCCAATTTTGTTTGCCTACTTGTAGTTTGAGGAAACGTTGTTGTTGCTTATCAAACGTTATCTTAATAAAAAGGTAGATGTGATGGGAGATAGAGGGATAGTATCTTATTAATAGTGGAGGAGATGAGAGGTAAGTGTTGGGTCAAGGCCAAGGGTAGAGGAGAGAAGTAATAAAACAATAGTGGATCTTTGCGGAAAAAAAAAGGGGAAAGGCAAATTTTCTTGGGACAGATGAAAAAAGGAAAATAGGCAAACTAGATTGCAACGTAGGGAGTAAAATTAAACTCTTGCCAAATTATGTTCAAACATGAAGAATTTGAACGATTCCCCCCCCCCCCCCCCCCCACACATTTTGGTTGCATCCATGAGTATGGGTATGGAGATGAGAGCACAACAATGGCAAAAATTATTTTGCATCTTGTGCGAACTTGTTGAGTATGGTTAAGGGTAGATTATGGAGGGATAAAAAAATTTTATCAATAATTATGTGAAAAAACATTTAGCTACAAACGGCCTTTATTCAAACTGTAAAATAAAAACATGTATTTTAGTATTTCCATCAACCGTGACATGCAAAGGATGAAAAAATATGCGATTATTTTGTGGATAAGCATTGTCCTTGACCCATTCGTGTGTTTGTTTAGTACATGCTCCCAAACTCATAAGATATTAAGCTTTTTTATTTTTATTTATTTATTTTTTTAAAACTTTCTATTCAACAATTGGAGGATATCAAGATAAAAAAAAACATGGACATTTTTCTGGTTACCTTCTACAAGTGAATGGTCCTAGTATTCTTCTCCTACAATTTGCACTCATTGGAATACCTCAAATGATCTTATTTTATGATGAATTTCAGGTTAACCAAATTGGTACTGTAACTTAATCCATTCAAGCTGCCTTGGACTCAAAAGCTGCTGGATGGGGTGTCATGGTCAGCCACCGCAGTGGTGAGACCGAGGACAATTTTATTGCAGATCTTTCTGTTGGCTTGGCTAGTGGACAGGTAATAGCTCTTTCACCTGCAGCACATTTTTTTAATACCACTGTAAAGATTTCCCTGTCCATAAAGTTAGAAATTTATTCTTCGTATTATGTTTTTCAGATCAAGACAGGTGCTCCTTGCCGTAGTGAGAGGTTAGCCAAATACAACCAGGTACTACCTTATTCCCTTGAGACCCCTGCTTTTCTTCTTCTGTTTCTCTGTATGGTTGACATAATAAGTTTAAATAACCACCAGTGTGTTCTGAAATGACTATTGTTACCAAGGTTTTCCCATGTGACATTCTGGGCTGTGTTTGGCTGGGAGGAAAACCATATTTCTAAGGATGCAATTTCTAATTTTCGTCCGTTTGGTTTGTAAAAGTGGTGAAATTAAACTCTTTGGTTGAATTAAGTTTTCACAAGGGTGGAAAAGATATTCCTTATTTACGTAAGGAATGCCACATTTTCTTTTGTACTCCTCACTTTCCTTGCACCTCCTCCTTTCCCACCATTTTCCCTTTTTCCATTTTCTTTTTCTCTAAATTTTTGGCAAGTTAGTGAACAAAGGAAACTGTAGTTTGAAATCTGAAATCCAATATTATAAATAGTTTTCACTTCAAAATGTTTTCCCTTTGTCCCAAATTTACGTTAGCTCAGCAATTTAGTTCAACACCTTGTACCTTCAAAAAGTGAAAAGGAGTATGCTAGATTGCTAGCTTAATTTGTGTGTGTGGGTGTGTTTGAAATTTTACTTTTGTTTGTTGATTGTATTGCATTTGTATGCAGCTTCTGCGCATTGAAGACGAGCTTGGAAGTGTACATTATGCTGGTGAAGCTTTTAGGTCACCATAGAAATGGAGATTTTCCCCCAAGAATTTTTAATTGAATAACTAGGTGTTCAACATTGAAACAAGAAGCTGCAGACTGGAGAATCGAATTGTATACCTCTGTAACAAGGATGTAAACTGCAAAGTTCAGAGCGAGCAAGCCAAGCATTATAGGGTAGAGTTTACGATCTACAGTGTTTTACCAATTACCATGCTTCATGGTTACTCTCTACCACTGTAATTTTTCCACTTTGGTAGAGCTTGATTTCAGTCATGGAGAAATTTACCCTATTGCATACAATTTTGTCTCATAAGAGAGCAATGTTGTTGAGTATTGCATGTACTGTTATTGGCAAGATGGAGTTTATGGTGCATCCTGGTTGATACTAGTATATTTTTAGATCTCTGAGTAAGATGATTTCATTTTACGGTTGCTAATCTAATCCATCACCCAAATTTTTCCTGAAAGGAGAAACTATTGAAAAACTTGAAACCTAAAATACTACGTACGTCGTATGATTTTGATAAAAGACCTATAAACTATTACGATTTGATGTAGGGTTGAGATTAATAAAAGATTAAAATGATGAGCTACAATTCTCTTTGATCTAGCTCTCAATACTTAAAGAGATGAATCTAGCTTGTGACACCAATCATGAAAGGAGTACATACGTTGTTGAATTATTTGAATATACTCGTAGCATACTTAAATTTTAATCAGGCTTGTTAATTTTTTATTCACACGTTCTAAATATAAAATAAGATGTTAGTTTATATTTGGTTTTAAATACTTTTAATATACCTATTCCGTATCTAGTTTCATCAAAAAAACTACATTTAATTTGAAATGAAGGATGTATAAATAGATGTTAAAATCACACCTGATGCGAAACCTATTCGATAAATATTCAATTTAGATTTTAACTCGCGTGGGCACAATAATTTAATATGATTCAACTTTAAAAATTGACCCGACCCGATCTGGACCCCCAAATTGTCAACTCTAGTACAATATGTAGTTTTTCATTGTAATGACATTGGCGGGAAAATCATGAATATGCAAAGTCCAAACTCCATAACAAGTCATTCAAAGTTGAACAATCTCTGAGATACAGGGTATTATCAATGGAAGGTAGCGAAAGCGAGGCGATTTTCGAGTCATTCAACCTTAAACCTCAGCTCTTCATCAACGAATCCCTAAATATTGTCGATGAATTAGTTGATGGCGCTTTTCATCACTTTCATTTGTACTTCTTTCTCTCTCCTCTTAACCCTAATTTCGACGCAAATTTTCTATATTTTCTCACTTTTTAAATCGTTTTTTTTTTCAGGGAAGCATCGAAATTATTGAAGACTGATGGCACCGACAGATCTGAAGATCTTCAAAAGGTACTCTCAATTTGCACTGTTTTCCCACTAACTTTGTCGTTTTTTTCTGAATTTTTTAATACATTTATGCATAAATTTATGCCAATTTTTACTATAATTCAGTATTCTGGAAAATATAGTTTGTTTGGGAGTTAGTTGTGCAAGTAAATTTGTAATTGTATATGGGGAATTTTTTTTTTTTTAATTTTTGTGGTGGGAGAACTTAGGTTTTGGGTTAGGGTACTTGGGGTGAACAATTCGAGTTTCGATGATGTGGATGGATTATTGGGTGAATATTGAGCAGTTAGATGTGAATTGGGTTGTAATGAACAATGGCTGAATTGGGTTCAATTATCTGAACTGATTACCTTCTTGTTGTGTGGTTCTATATACGGTGGGACGTGTTGGGTACTGAGGGATGATGGTATGAATATGGAATGGAACTTATCTCATCATTTGGAAATAATTTTGATGAATTTCCGGAATTTTCACTAGTATGCTGAAATTAAACTTCTTTTGGGTAACTTTGTGGACTACAAAGTAATTTCTAGGGTAAATTAGGAAATGACATGAGTTATCTTCTATTCTTAATGTCATATTTGCTCAATTTTGCCTCTCATAGTAATTGCTGAGACCATGGTAGATGGACACAAGGGTTGTCTTGAAGGGTTTATTTGCTGACTCTTTGCTTCTCGTGTATTTTATGTGCATTTTTCATAATATTCTGTGGGTTGCAGTTTTGTTTATTTTATTTCTTTGAAATTGTAGGGTATTGATTATATTCAAAATACAATTCAAGCATCTTTGGACAAGAGGCTTGTTATGTGGGAGCAATACTGCCTTCGCCATTGTTTTACTGTTCCTACTGGGTTTTCATTACCTTCTGGGGTAGGTTTCTTACTCAGAATTCTTTTTATTGATGTTTTTAGTTTTTCTATACGGTTTTATGGATTCTTCCCTCTTTTTGTTTTTGATGCTAAAAGTATGTATTTGTTGTGATTTAATTTATGTTTGATATTGCCAATTACTATCTCTCTTGTGTGACATGAATAATTATCGAACCACTATCGTTTTTTGGAGAACCAATGCATTTGCAAATCTTGTTATCTACTCCCCTTCACCTGCCAATAACCTTTAAATTGTGAAATGAAATGCTTTATAAGTAAGCCCATACTACATGGAGTGAAGAAGAGATACAAGAATCTTTGCCCATGTGATGAGGAATGAGATACAAAGACACCACTTACCCCCAAAAAAATAAAATAAAATTAAACGTATTTCAAAAATTAAAACAGGACAAACTAGAAAGTGCTAATGAATTGCAAACTGAGCAAGTTTTTATTATAACGGTACCACTTACACCCTTTGTACCACTAATAGTGTCACCTTTTCATATTTCTTGTAATGTATCATCCTCTCAGAAAATAAATCATTTGCATAACTGTCTAGGATAAGGGCATAAGAGATTGTGTTTCTAATACTGTTACCAATGTAAATTCATTGAAGGCTCTTATCTAGTCTGAAGTATTCATATAATGTGATGATGGTGTTTTTCTTACATTGCCTTAGCATTTGAATATAAGGGTAATGTATTATCTTAGAAGATTTTTTGAGTATAGAGACACATCTAGACCAACGTAGGATGAACTTTTGTGTTGTGACTGAAATTCTTTAGGTGCATCTTGGCATGTGGTGCTAATGTAGTAGTGTGAGATCTGTAGTCTCGAAAGGTCAAAACTTCAAAGCATCACCCTAGAAGCAATTGTCTTATCCTCCTGTTAGCAGTCTGAGAGGCAAAAACCATTATCCCAAACACTAAGGTTTCTATGTTTTTGCTCTATTAGGTTAGCCTTTTGTAACATCCTATATACCCCCTTGCACAATTTTTGTAAATATACTAAATATAGAGTTGTGCAGATCTAAATGCATTTACTATTTTTCTTGGCATTCTAAAAGTGCACAAATTGGACCGAAGTTGAAGTAAAGATTTAGGAATAACAAGGGCTTACTCATGTGAATAAATTTGGTTTTAAGAGTCTTTTCTCTAAAAGCGTTGCTTCTTATTGTCTAGGAAGTTTAAAATCATATTAGGAAGTTGAATCATACTTTTTCTCTAAAAGCGCTGAGGTTGAGAAATGTAGGCTCTCTTTAATTGTTTCGGTAGTAGTGAAGACTACAGAGAAGTTTATGTTGAATGCAGGATGTAATAAATCCTTTCTACCAGTGGGACACAATTGTGCTTATTCACCTCTTATTCATTTTTAATTTTATTAAGTTGGAGGAAGTGTATAAAAAGGCTCGTCTGAGGTGCAAGGCAACCTGGGTATGTGTTTGGTTCAAGCGAGGCTTTTTTGATGAGGCACACCAAATCGTACATTAGTTTCCAGATTTTGCTCCTCTCTTCAATAAGACGGCAAGGCGCACATAAAACATAGGGAAATCCTATACATTTGTTGGAGGGTGCTAGATAGTCAGTAGTAGGGTAAGGTCAAAAGCTGTTAAAAGGAGATACTTCTGTCATACAGCAGTAATATTGCTTGTGATGTGGGTGGGTGTTGTGGAGCTTTTATTTTTGCGTACTTGAGTAGAATGAAACATGATGGAATTCAGATAATATTGCAAGCATGAAGAAATAAAATTTTTAAGAAAATAAGGTTAGTTGATGTTTGAAAAACTAGGAGAAATTCTTATAACACTAATGAATTTTCTAAACATAGGTTCTTCTAGGGATAGAGTTGTATAAGTGTGAATTATTCAATGGCAGGCCATATTTGATCGAAGTTCGTATCCGAGAAATTGGGTGATATCATGATTATTCTTTTTTTTTTTTTTTGAAAACTCATGATTATTCTTCTTTATTCCACAAGTCTTTCCGTTTACGTTATCAATTTTATCATTAGCAGGGTGTTTGGATAGAAAATGAGAAAGGAAAGGGAATGAAGAGGAAGGGAGGGAAAGGGAGGGGAGAGGAAGGAGGAAGAAATTTAATTCGTTGTTTAGATAATGGAGAAGAGGAGAGATGGGAGGGGAATCTAATAACAATACTCGAACTTGGTGCAACCAATTACAAAGAATAGGATATAGAAGCAAAGAAAATGAGGGTAGGAGAGAGAAAGTAAAGAGTGGTGGATAAAGAAGTAGAGGGAAGGATGTGAGAGAAAGTAATAAGAATGGGACAGAGAAGCTAGGGAAAGAGGGGAGGGAGAAGCCGGAGAACATATGTGACTGGATTGTTACCATTTTCCAAATCTTTTCAATTTTTGAGATACTAATTTCTTAAATATTTAAGGAAACAATATCTTTCCATTCCCCTCCCCTCCTTTTCCCTCACCCTCATAAAGAACTAACCAAACAATCGGAAATCCCTCCCTCCTTTTCCCTTCTTCTCTTCTATCCAAATCCTTCAATCCAAACACATTGTAAGGGTGATGTAGACAAGCTTTAAGATTTTCAAACTATATTAAGGACTATTAATTTCGGACAATCCACAATCCAACATAAGATGTGGCTTATTATTAAGAATGGAGGGAGTACTACTTAAAATAAGATTCATCATTTGGCTTAAAAGGGAAATTGGATGAGGTTTTGGACTTGTTATAGCTAGCGTATTTTACCCAAAGCTTTGCTATGAACTAACCTTCACAAATGGCTTTAGATTGACCTCGACAGGAATCAGTAGGTTGTGACATACTAGGAAAGTTTACCTTTGGGAACAACAATCTATCCTTGACAATGTAGGGATCAAGGCTTCAAGCACATTAGTGCTATATACATGTGCAAGCTTTTAGAAGAAAACAATAGTGAATTGTAATTATCCTAACAAAATACCGAAGGTTAAGAAAAATGTATTGATAAAAGGTCTTGATGTTCTATTTTTTTCTTCTTCTTGATGGTTAGCAGCAGGATTTAGTGCATGTTAACTTAATGGTTTTTAGTTGAAATAAGGAGAAATTCACAGTTCTTGCATATAATGCTTACTATAATTGTCAGTGGTCTCAACAAGATGATTTTCTTTGGGATAAGGTGATTTTCCTAGGTCTACTTTTGGGCTTGAGCTTCTGTTTGAGGATGCTTCTGTTTTTGAGAAATGTGATGACACTTGGGAACTTTGTTATAAATGAATGTTAAAGTTTTCTGGTGGTTGCTTACGTATTTAAAGCTGCACTTCATTCTCAGTTGCTGGTGTATTTTATACCATAGAAAAAGAGGATTTCCATTTTCCTAAGGAATGGGACCTCAGTGAACTACTGTCTTAGCTTTGTTGACAGCTGTCTCTTACACTGAATGATGGTTACCCTTTTCCAGTAGTGTGGATGTTGTACAAATTGTGTATTGGGTATCTGATGTTGTCTGATGGCCTTTATTGAGAACCCAAGACCTGAGCGCATCCAGGCCCTTAACGTCTGAAGTTCCTAACTTCTTTTCATCTTTCACTATAGATATAGGCAGTAAGTCCACATTAGTCATTAAATGACTGAAGCTATCAACTTGACTACTATAATTATGAACCAGAGGCTAGCTATTAAGCTCAGGGTGAGTTTGCAGTTGGAGCATCAAAACTCTAAATGGTCAAATTTGGACACAATTCTTTTTTTACTGTTGTCCACTAGGAGTGACATTGGAATGTCTGACAGTGGAGTTCAATTGATGACTTCTTGTTGGAATGGGTGTTTAGGCACTATGCTATTATTTTGTGATCTTCTCTACAATGAAAATAGTCACGTAATGCCAATAATTCATGTATTTTGATGCCTAGATGCAATATTGCCAATCAATTGGAGTTATAGTTAATGCACTACTTCAGCCAATAGCTCACCATTTTTGCAATAAAGCTTTGTAGGATGATGCCTATACCATTCAGTGAAGAACTGTTTTTTTATAATATGATGTGTGCTACTAAAATTGTTGTATCTTTGCGCACTACTTTCTCAGAGTCATAGTTGAACAATGATATTGATCAATTATTTATGGATGCTATCAAATAGTATGTTGATTCTAGCAAGTTAGCTACCGTGGTGTGCCAGATCTTGGAAGTGTTTAGTCCAATTTCTACTGCTTTTGATGTGACTGTCTTCTTCTGGAATGTTTACTGGTATTCCTCTTCAGGATGAAGCATCTAGTGATGATCTAATGGACCAAGATGATCCTAATGATGAGCAGGTAGAAGCACAACTTGATAATCTAAGGAATAAGCTTGCAGAGGTAAGTAAATGTTCTACAAATTGTTATACAGGAAAGGCTTTCATGGCCTTATATTTGTATATCTACGCTGTATGCATTGATGTCCTAGTCTTACGTTTCTTTTATTTCAATATGTGATCCAAGGCTGGAAAAGAGTGCCCTGAGTTGAAAAAAGAATTGCGAGAATTAGAAAGAAAATCTACCATGAGCAACCAGTATATCTCATCTGTGAATGAAGCATTACAGTTGTATGAGGAAAGTTCTGCACATGACATGTTCCAAGGTAATAACCAAGCGTCTCTAGCTTCCAGGTCATTATGCATGTATTGATTATCTTGATAAGAAGATGGACTCCTTTTCCTCTGTTTGACTGGAAATGTGGAGGTTGTTGTTCTGCTGTGTTCAGATGGTGATGTAAAAATAAATTGTTAGGTGGCTACAAATTGGTCATACTTTGTTAGGCTGGACTTAAATGTTGATCTCTTGATAGTTGAGAAGGGGCAAGGGTGGCATTTGCTCTACAAAGCAGTAGAATAGTTTCATCAACAGAGAAAAAAGGAGGGGGGGTGGGTGTTGACAGGTGAAACAAGATATTCTGTGGTTATCGGACAACCTATTTCTGACTGCTGTTACAATGGCAAGAGCATCTTTTATAGCTAGAAATAAAAACATATTGAAACTAATTACAAGTTGTATCAGAGAAAAAGGTATTTTTTTTATGAAAGTACAAAAAAGAAAGCCATTCATGTTGGACAACTGAAATTAAATATAGGAAAAGAATTTAAACAGACCATTCGATCCCATGGCACTGCCCCATTAGTCTTATTACGAAAGATACGGTCATTATGCTTGAAGCAAAGCACTTTTGATGGTTTGTCCTATCAAAATCAGTATGGAATACATTTGATTTGTATATTACGACCCCACAAAGAACTAGGACATGTCCACTTTTCCAGACGCTTGTGGCTTGTTAAGTTTTCAGAACTAAAACTTGGTCCGTCTTGATCATATTTTCCAGTGTTTATTGTGACCTATTGACGCTTTAATACTCTTAGTGACTATAATTGTTGTGCTTTTGTTATGGGAGTGGTCTAGTGGTGACTTGCGGCTTTGTGATCCTTCTGATTCCGGACTGCCGTAATATATTGCTGAATATTGAGACTGATATTTTTAAGATTGTTTTAGTTGGCCTGACATAATAGTCATGTCGGTCTTCAGATTCTAGGTGAGGTCATTTATGAACTTGGGAGTCATCATGTTGAGACTGTTAAATTTTCCATGTTCTTTAGTACCGCTCCAATTTCTTTTAGGGCATTGCTTGGTATCGAGGTTTTGCTTTTGTGGGTAACTAACATCCTGTATATCCTTGTTGAGGGACCTCCTTGATGACGCCTTTATTAACCTAGCTCAGAGAACATTTTGTGTTCTATTAGAAGTCCAAAACTCTGTATCTGGTCTGTCTCAACTCTCAAGTCCATAAATGCTCTACAATAAAAGGCTCAGACAATGAAAACTGAACACCGCTCTTTCTCCATGTCTCTCTTGCCAAGTAGGATGAAATATAAGAGAATAATCTCTTTTCTGCAGATATGATGAACGTTGCATCTGAACTCCGTCACAAAATGGAGCAGCTAAAGAGCAAAGAGATGAAAGAGATTGAGCGCAGTAGGAGGGAGAGGGCAAATGATGCAAATGGAGATATTCCCGAACTCAGATACAGCAAGGGTACATTTACTTTACTTTTATTAATGAGAAATTGCAATTTTTCAGTTCTATGTTCATATTGCCAAAGTGGATAATTCATCTCTATTGCAGGTCTTTCCAAGTTGGGGTTGGATGATCTTCAGGAGTTTGTGACCAAGATGAACTCTGAATTTCAGTAAGAGTTTCCACTCACTCGATGATGTAGGCTCTTTTTTGTTGTTCTCCATGCTCCCGTTCCCCCCTCCTCTTACTCTGAAATTACCCGGTGAAGTGAAGTTTTAAATTTGTAATTTCTGTACATATGTGAAGATTAAGTCATAGCAGCACAAACTTAATGGTGTACAATACTAGATAAGGGATGAGATCCAGACTTCTAATAGAGATTATATGCTTGATTATTGTATTTGTATAACCTAATCCGCAGTATGAGAACTTAGATGACAAATTTCGTGCAACTAATGTGCTTTCTTGGTCATGATTATCTGTTTTTGGAATCTTAGAAACATCTTTAGCTGATCATAGGTAGTTTTTGCAGTAGTTCAATTGCACAGGTTGCATTACACAATGCACGTATATATTACCTACGATAGTACGCGTATGACTATTATTTGATAAGCCATGCCCTCTGATCTTATAACTTGGAATAAGCCTAAAAATACAGGGTCTAATGCTAGTTCCTTACGTAGTAATTCCCAGCTGACATGATGTTAATCACAGTACTTTAGCTATAGAATTTTATTGTAGATTCCGTCTGCAGGATCAATGTACAAGAAGATTTTTTATAATCTCACATAAGCTTCTTGAAGAAGACATGATTAAAACTATTTACTAACGACTCGACCAGGAATCTAATTTCTTTTTGCAGCAACAAGCAGCTTCACAAAGCTGAATTCCTTGGCATTAGAGTCACAGGAGAAACCGAGAAAAGATGAGTTTCTCGGTTCAAATTAACATCAGGTTAGCATCATATTAATAGCATCTTATGACAACATGCAATTAAATATGCAGCCCCTTCAATTTTTAGCTAATAATGAAAACATCTGATTATAAAGGGAAGATCAAGGAAAGTATTTATAATTCTATTTATGCTAAGCCAATATGCCAATTCAACACTCACTGAAATATTATACGAAAAGAAACATTTTAGTACGAGTACCATCTAGCAAAAGGGGAAGAATGCATTATAGCTAACTAATTGAGGGATTATGGTTAAACTAATGAGCTAAAATGGATCAATCTTGTTCCATATTCATCAGTCTCGTGGCAAGGTTCGCAAGGATGTCAAATCTCCCCTTTGTGTTGTTTGTGCAGTACTAAGGTCTCCACATAAGTATCAAAAGATTTACGATTATAATTATACTTTTCCAATTGTTGTATCTGATGACTTCTAAAATTATAAGAACACATTCCATAACAGCTAGGACTGATAAAATGATGTACCAGAAGTGTATTATTTTCTTCATTGACAATTCCTGTAACACGTTTACTACTTGTAAGAAACTGAAGAGCTTCTAAATTTGCATCTCTGGTATACCACAGGCGGCATGATTTATCCCCTCCATCCTCGACCAAAACCCATATGCAGGTACGATCAGATGACATACTGAAAACTGCTATAGACTCATCGAGGACAAAGCAAATTTTGATGAGACTTGTTTGTTTAAGAGCATCAGGCAAATCCACAAAGTTAATTTCCTCGGAATCAAAATCAAACGATATAAGATGAGTCCGTAAGCCACGAACATTATAAGGCCCAAGGCTCGATTGTGGACATCCAACCCATCTTTGATCCTCCAAAAGTTATCATTATCGAATAAACCGCGATCATAAACTCGGGAAACTTAGAATACCCTAAAGCAAGCAACTTATAATCATTAGTAGACGGAGCGAAACCTAGCCGATAAAGTATGGTATTAGAAACAGGACAAGGGGGAATCACCAACGACTTTCGAATACAAGGATTATATAATACTAAGTCATAGGTTTCATTTTTAGTATAGGCTTTCAACCAAAATAATCCATAACAACTCAATAAGAGTTTCGTAAAGTATATCGATTTTTCTGAATGTGTCGATACTATGAATGCTAGATTCAAAGTAATCCACGGCTATCAAATTCTTGCGTTTATTGTTGTAAATTTGAAGATGCATGACAATGAAATCAGATGAATCAATTAATGAACACCAGGTTTTACAAACACACCTCAATCTCATTAGGCTTTTCGCCGGCAGCCTTGCTAAGATCTCCGTCCACAAATCCGTCTTAAGTCAGCCATTGATTTATAATTTGAAGGGTATAATGAAATCAGAAGGGTTATATACTTATTTGTATGTTAAGAAAACTATAGTTAATACTACTCCCTACCGCTAAAGTCCTATGGTTTTTTGTAAAAATAAGTTAATATATTTTGTAGGATTTTGCTGACGAGGTGTTATTAAATAACTAATTAATATATTACCTAAAATAATACTTTCTTCGTTTTTTTAGTTAACACCGATAGACTTTTACACTATTCACATACTACTCGCTTTTGTGATTTATAGATACGATGAAATATAGTCATGTGCGATTTTTTTGAACCGTCTCGATGAATATTTTATTAATATCTATTTTTTATAATTTTACAATGTTGATAATCACAAATCGTTAAAAACATGCATTGACAAGCGTGATAATAAAAAGGTGTCAACTAAAAAATAGAGAAAATAGGTTTGAAATGCATGTCAAAATCACACATCTATCGATGTAAATAATGTTTATTTTACTATGATAATAAAATGATTATTCCCAACTAATAGCATTTTAAACATGCATTGAATATTTGAATCTGGAATTGTGATTGGTTATTATTGATAAATTAATCAGGGTTAATTTCGTCATTTTACAACAACATAACCTTTAAAAAATAAGATTAAAGTTATTTAAAAAAAATTTATAAAACTAAACCGTTTTTTTCTTCCATAAACAGTTTCAGTCTAACCCATGACCCCCACATTCTCTACAACTAAAAACCCCTTAATTCTTTCTTTTGATCCATATTTATAGTACAAAATTTCTACATTCTCAAAACTTTCATAGTTACATTCATAATCATCATTAGCAACGTTAAACAACAATGGCAAAGTTAAGCAACATAGTAATCACAACCCTAAACATCCTAACAACAATCCTTTCATTATTAGCAATAGCCATATTTATTTACCTACACTTTTTCATCAATGGAAGTCCAACACATTGTCAACAAATGGTAGAATGGCCTATTCTCATAATAGGATTAATTCTTCTTACTATTTCTTTACTAGGAATGATTGGTTCATGGTGTCAAATTCCTTTTCTTCTTTGGATATATGTTGTTTCCGTGGTTGTTATTATGATAGGTTGGGTTATTTTTACGGGCTTCGTGTTTATGGTCACGAATAAGGGTGCCGGAAAAGCAGTGTCCGGTGTCGGGTTTCAGGAGTATAGGGTGGGTGATTTTAACCATTGGTTGCAAAGGAATGTTGTTAATACTAAGAATTGGGTTCAAATTCGGAGTTGTTTGGTTGATAGTAAAGTTTGTGCGTCGTTGGATCGTGTATATACTAATCAAGGCCTTGAATTTTTCAAGAAAAACTTGTCTCCAATTCAGGTAATTGTACTTTTTAAGTTTTGTGAGTGATGTTATCATTCTTTTTTGTTCAATCATTAGATAGTACTCCAACACCATGAAAATTACGGATTTTTGTTGGTAATCTTGTGTCTTCTCATTATTATCACTAAACATGATAAACAACAATATAATAAAATATAATAATAAGATTTTTGTTTATAAATCTAGAGTAAATAAAGTTGAAGATTTCCTCAGGAAAAAAAGGAGTTAAATAATTTGTATATTTCTTCCTAAATTTGCAATAAGATAAAAGATCTCATTTTTTTGGTACAATATTGATTGTTTATATATGTTGTACCAAAAAAATTAAATTTCATCAATAACCAAATCATGAGAAAAAAAATATATGTATGTCATTGTTATATGTAAGAATCTCGGACATGGCTCATTTGGTTAGTGATGAAATTTAATCTTTGCATTTTTTTACTCTTGCTCTTGTAGTCTTGTAACATCCGCGCTTTATGGTACAACAACATTTTCATTTGTTGAATTTACTGTCTTTGTACAACTTCGACGTAACAAGTCAACTATGTGTTAGATTGTTTACGCTCATCTAGGGTCTTTTAGTGACGTGAATGAGGACTATCAAGTTCATGTAACTAATTTTCTAATTAAGGGTGAAGAACGCAATATAACGCATATTACAAACTCCTGTGAACTGTGAAGTGAGTAACTTGGGCAACATACGGGTTTTTTTTTTTTTGTTATAAACTACCTTTTAAAAACAATTTTTTGTTTTAATAGGTAGTTTCTCACAACATTTTTTTTATTTTTTTTATTATGTAGTTTCTCACAAAAAATGACTTTTAATAAGTGGATTCTGACAAAAAGCCCTTAACAAAATCTATATTGCATGCATCATTGCGTCACATACTCACATGTTTCATTTCTTTAGCCGCAACTATATATTCATAATTGTGATACATCTTGAATTTGTTTTGTCAGTCAAGCTGTTGCAAGCCACCAACATCATGTGGGTTTACCCCTAAGAATGCAACCTACTGGGAGGTTCCGAAGACAGGCCCGACCTCATCGGATTCCGATTGCAATGCATGGAGCAACGACAAGGATAAGTTATGCTACGATTGCAAGTCTTGCAAGGCAGGTGTACTAGCCAGTCTTAGGGAGGAGTGGCGGCATTTCTTGATCTTCAATATCACCATATTTATCATTCTCTTTGTGATTTATATGGTTGGTTGCTGCGCAATCCGCAATAGTTATAATCGTTCTTCCAACAAGTACCCTTAGTTTAACTTCATGTTTGTTCATGTTGTGTTTTCTAGCATAGTTTAGCTTTATTAAGTTCATAGATAGAATAGTATTTTCTTTTCTTAAATTTTATAGGTTGGATTTTAAATGTTGGATTATTGTGTTAATTAGTAAGTTTGTGTCTTTAATTGTTAATTTAGTTGTATCTATGTTTAGAAAATGATTTATTTGATGGATTTATTTAATATAAGTCATAGTTTGTGTTATTCATTGTCGATTTTTGAAAGTTTATGTGATAAATATATTCTAGTGTTAAATTTCTGTTAATTTTTCTCTCAATCTTTGTTCTATCTAATCTTATACCCGTTTTCTTTAGGTTTTGAAACAATAACATTTAAAATAAATTAGTTTTGGTTCGTGGTTAATGTAGGTGCTATAGCAAAGTAAGAATTTATGAGACATAAATTGAGGCATAGGATAAGAGGTGAGATAATGCATATGAATTGTTAGAATTTCATTATAAAGACAATTTTATGTCAATGGTTGTAATCAAGCCATAGAGTTTATATTAATGAATGTTATTGTACCTATCTATAGATATAAGAGAATATTATCGAATAAAATTCAACTTATGCACATAAGAGCATCCACATTGTTGGGTTGGCTCACGATTTTGAGTAAAGTAAAATACAAGGTACTAATGTTTGCCTAAAGTTGCAATTAAAGTACTGAAGTTTCAGAAGCTGTAAAGAAGGTACTCAAACCTTGGCTGGAGGTCAAAAATCTGGTGGTGACCTATACCAACCGGTTAACTCATTTTAAAGTTTCGAAAAAAAAATAAAAAAAATTGTTGAGCTGTTGCCTCGAAAAAGAAAAATCCATCCCGTTTCTCTTCCTTCTCCCCAACTGAGTTAATAGCCCCACCTAGGGGTGGTTAATGGACAGGGTTGCTCATTGATAATAGGGTCGGGTCAAAATTTAAAGGGTATTCACCCTTTAAAATTTTAGTGGACAGGGTCACTAAAGGGCTTTAAGATATAAGGTCAATAATGGGCTTTTATTGACAACCCATTAATATCAAAGAAAATTAAAGAGCCGAAAAGATAAAACCCAAATTAAAAAAAAAAAAAAAAAACAAAACCTCCGATTTAATATACCTTTCTCTCTCCTCCATTGAAGCGCACTCAGAGTTCTCCATTGAAGCCGCTTCTCTGCTTTCTCTCTTCACGATAGCATGAACCTGAATCGCCGGCCACTCTCACGATTTCTTCTCCTCCGTCGCTCCACAATCGCTGGCCACCGCCTTCTCCGCCGTACTTCCGACTGCCGTCTCCCACTCTGATGTAGCGAACAGCGCTTAGTGTTTTGTGCCAGTCTTCTTCGTTCTATTCGAGGTATTTGAAATTTTGATTTTTGATAGTTTATGAAAGGTGCTTTTTGGAATTGATTTGAGTTCCGTTTTTAGGGATTGGATTGTGAGTTTCTTGAGTTCTGAGTTCAATTTGAGTAATTGAATTTACGTTTATTATTTGCGACCTTAAAATTTTAGGATTGTGAAATTGTTTCTGATTTTATTAATGATTAGAAAGTTTGATTGAACAAGGAAATAAAATTATGAGCAGAAAGTTTGCTCGAACAAGGAAATATAATTAATCATTTTGCAATAATACTATCTCTCTTATACAATTACATTTGCAATTATACTATTTCTCTTATAGACTTACATTGACGAAATGAATGTAAAATTAAAATTTTTGTACAAAAAAGCCAATGCATGTTACCAAAAATAAATTATACAGTTATAAATACTCATATGAAAATAAACCGTGCAATATTAATAACACCAAAAAATATACGGAGTATATATAAAGTTATTGACTCGACTATCTCAAGGTGAAATTAAATCTGCATACCCCTTACAAATTTACTTTTAGGCCCGTTAATAGCCCGTTTCACTTTTACCTCAACCCTAACCCTGACCCACTAAATATTCATCATGACCCGTAATCGACCCGCCCCGCTAATGACCCGCACTGGCCCGCCCAATGGGCCCCCCACCCATTCCCGTTCGCCGGAGCCATCCCCACCATCTTCCACTCCTTTCCCCGAATTCTCCTTCCCTTACCCTTATTCACACGAAGGCGAGGAAGAAGACGAAGATGGCGACCATGAATTTGTTGATGATGAAGAAACCTTGAAAGCCATTGCTAAAGCCTCCACCGCCAAACCATTACCATTTTCATTCTCTCTCCTATGCTAGGACCAATGTCCATCACTTTTCTCGCTCCTCAACCATTCTTTCACCATATTAACAATCCGATTTTTCAATTTTAATCACTCAAATCCAACAAGAAATTGAGTTCGTATAATAAAATCAATTTGATGAGTTAATTAATTAATAAAAATCAATGTAATTATGATGAAGAATCAAACCCTAAAATTGAAGAATTTTCCCCAAATTCACTGACGAATGAAGATGAAGGATTATCAATTCCAGAGGGGGTGGTGTTTGATGCTTCTTGATGCTCAGTAATTTCACCAAAAACACTTCAATGCATCCTCCTTGTCACTGAAAAAATGGTGGAATAAATTTGTTTTTGTTTTTGTTTTTTTAAAACTTCAAAGCCAATTATGGTGAACTTCGAAATCTGTGCTGCGGTAAGGTGGGAGTTAGAGGAGTTTGATTTGAGGAGGAAATGAGCGAAAATCAGATGAGTTATTTGAGGGGTTTTGGAGGTTGGTCTTTCATGGAGGAGAGATAATTTTTTTTAATTGATTTGGTATTAGTTTAGTTAAAACTTCAGTACCTTCCCTTATTATTTATCCCTAATTTGTTTTCCATACTTATCAAACATGGGATAAAAATTATTTATCCTTGTTCCACCTATTAATCCCCTATCTTTATCCTCCCTTCTTATCCGTCTTATTTCCATCCCTCAAACCAAACGCCCCGTTAGTACCTTCCCTTATTAATGTCAGAAGATATCATTTTCCTTTTTTTTTACTTAGAAACCAGTTATAGTAGGTAATTTTTCCTGAAAACTCATTTCAGTACCTTATCTGCAACAAAACAAACTTCAGTACCTTCCCTGCAACTTTTGGTAAATATTAGTACCTTGTATTTCTATTAACTCCATGATTTCCCTATCCACTTTTAACTCTTTCTCATCATATTCTATTAACTTGAGTCACTGTTATGTGTCACCCTTTTATTTTTTCCACAATGGTGAGCTAGCTCACTACATTACAATTAAAAAAATATTTTATGCTAAATTTGGGTAAAAAATTAAATGAAAATGTAAAATTTTTAACACTTGTCATCTTCTTCTTTATCATTGGGCTTGTGTGCCGAGACGGTCAGTGACTTGAAAGAGAGATGAGCCTCAAACTCACAAGTCACCATTCACAATGATGAGCTACCTCAAAACATAGAGAGAGTGTTGTTTCAACTCATGCACATAATGAATAAATTTCATCCACTTATGCACAATGAACACACAAATTCCAAAATTGGACTAAATAAACACATGCTACAACTCCATATAAATTTTAAACAAAGCACCATTTATATATGGAAAATTTGCCTCAAATTGATTTTCCACTATTCATATACTTTAACTAATGTTTGAGTATGATACATGATCAAACACAATCAAACATCTCAAATTTTCAGGGCTTGTTTGGTTGCACAAAGAAAATTGGGGGAAGTGGAAAATCATGGGTATTGGAAATTGGATGAGTTGTTTGGTTGACAATAAAAAGTGTAAATGTGGGAATTGCAAATTCATGGGAATTGTGACTTCCCACAAAACATGGGAAGTTAATTACCTAACCCCCCCTAGGTAAGTCAAAGTTCCCATGATTTGCAACTTCTTTCATCCCAACCAAACAAGTTTAGACAATTCCTAGGAATTGGATGTAGGTATTTAATTCCCATGGGAAGTAAATTCCCATGTCAAACAAACAACACCTAAATGTATAGATATTAGATAGTTCGCGCCAAATATCTAGGACTACAAACAAACATTAAATGTCTTTTCTAATTTGGTACTTCTATTAATTTAGAAATGCCTGACAAAATCACGTGCAAATCAGTGTAATTAATAAATAAATTTCACTAATGCTTTTCTCATTTAGCTTCTTATTCATAGCCCTTAGGGCTATTATATATATAGCATTTTCCTTATAATATATATTTATTGATAATTAAAATAGGATTTTGCTAACGAACGTCCCCTGAGCGTTAAATAAGCATTTAGAAAAGCATGCCAAAATCACGCGTAAATCGGTGTAATTAATGTTCATTTAAATTTATTATCTTTACTTTTAGTTATTTTATTTAACGCCCCGAGACGTTCGTTAGCTTTTTCCTTAAAAATATGAGGCATTTTAAAGGGAGAAAAGTTATGTACTTATTGGTTACATAACAGGGGCATAATGGTAACTTAGTACAACAAAAAGGTGATGGAACCACATATTATCACTTTAATTTTCAGGTTTTTTTGTACCACTATAGTCATTTTAATACCATTACAACTACTATTATACCATTACACTCCAATGGCATAATTTCACAACCTAGTGGTACATATATTAGCTTCAAAAGTATATCATTTTAATAATCTTTAGTGTAATTTCAACTATTTACAATACTATTGTAATAATATTGATACATTTCACATCTCAGTGGTAGCAATGTTAATTTTTAAAATATTTACGAATTATCATGTTATGTACCAATAAATACATAACATTCCTCCATTTCTACTTCCTCTGAAAATATTACTTGTGTAATCGCGTTGACAATTGTGTTGGCCAAAACATAGCACTTAACAAAAATAAATAAATTCTCGTGTCAACAGTTCAACACCTCCGAGGCTCTGATAATTCCACAAAAAGAAAAAACAACTCTCACACTCGTCACCACCGCCGTCACCATCGCCGTCTGCCATCTGCCGTCTGCCACCTGCGTAAGCAATCCTATCACCACCATTGTCTTCTTTGTCAAACTTCTCTCTTATTATTTGAATTTATTACTGCTCAATTAGCAGCCATTCAAGTGTAATTACTAATTAGGAACCAAAATCAAAGGATAATAGGAGTACAATTGCTAATTACAGCGTAAAATTTGAGGTTAGCTTATTTCAATTTATGCATTGTTCTTTACTTGTAATTTTGAACGTAAATTGTGTTTTCATTTTCTATTGAATTTGTTTCAGTTCAATTGCTAATTAAAGGCATGTTCATACCTCTCATTACTATTGCTGCTGTCTTAGTTACTTAATTTAGGTATTGTGGACTGATTTTACCAACTAATTTAGGTATTGTTACCTATGCTTAACCTTTAAGGGTTTTGCATGAAATATTCAAATCACGTTTGAGAATGAAATTTAATTTTTGTCAACTATGAAAATTAGAATATATGGTTTAGTGGGTTTAATTTACCTAGTCATTCTAATTTTCGTAACCCGAATTCGAAGTGGGATTGAACATTTTGCAATCATGATTGATTCGATATTATAAAGGAAATTATGATTGAAACAGTTTGCAGGACAATTGGGTAACAAGATGAAAGTATTTGCAATATGGAATTTCAATGATTTTTTTAAAAAATGGTTTGATTGCAAAGGCGAGCTTACGAAGCCTCAATTTTATCTAGTGCTTTTTCGAAGTTGATGACAAAATCACGTGTTGATTGTTGTTATTTTAAGCTTTATATTATGCTTGTCATCCTTAATACATTATGGCTTAGGTTACACTAAAATTGTTATGTCAGTATCTATGAGGAGGCTTTTTATGCATCCTTCACTGTCTTCCTTCAAAGCTTGTGAGCGGTTGTTCTTAGCTTAGTCTTTGCAGTTCAGAAGTTTTTTCCCCACTTATATTCTTTGCTTTTCAGTATTCATGACCTTCTTGGTGATTGTGAAGTATGACATTACGTGTTTCCGTGTTTATGTTGATATTAACAACTTGTTATGTCACGAGTTATATGTGTTGTCAGGTAACTAATGGATGAGAAGAAAAGGGAAGAGCTCAGTGGTTTACTCACTATACTCCCTCCAGTGGAATTTTGTTGTGTTTACGGCTCAACTCTTCATCCAAACAATCATGATCAGGTTCTTTCAGATGCTATCTGAAATATAATGATTTCTGTAAGTAAAGTTATGTTTCATTGGCCATTGTAGGATGACTAACTTTTATTTATCCTCTTGTCTTAATGTCTAAATCAATAGTCTCGGATGATTGATTACATTCTTGGCGTCCGAGATCCTGTTGAATGGCACTTGCAGGTAGGCTTAAATTGCAAGCTTTCTCAGTAGATTAATTGGTAAATGATTGTGCTTTTGTGCCAAATTCTGAAATCAGTACCATCTTTTGGGATGAAGAACTTGAAGATGAATAGGAATCATTATGCCTCATGGATGGCGGACCTTGGTGGTGCGAAACTGGTGCTTCCTTTTACTTTATCCATCTATCACAAAATTCACTTTCTATGGTGGAGTAGAGTTGCTAAATATTGCTTCATCAGATTACTGGAGTTGCAGACAAAATTGGTGTAGGGGTGCACTTCAACCCTTTTGTTTCTTGGAATAACAAGGTATTGGACTATTGGTCAGTTGTTGTAACATGGATAAGTTAATTTTGGAGTGTTAGCTTTATAGCACAGGTTTCTTAGTGACTCATACATATGTCTTCTTTTAACAATGGCAGACATTTAAGTATGGCGTAGTCAGAATGCATGACTTGGTTGAAGATATACTGAACTGGGAAACATTTTACTTCAGCGGTCGTCTACAAAAGCCTGTATGTTTATAATTAAAATGTACAAGTTTCATATGTTGTGCACTTTCCTCATAATAAAATTGAAATGGAAAAGTGTTCTTCGTTTACAGGTCCATATTCTTGTAGATAGCTTGGATGTTGAGAATCTAAACTCTTTTAATTTAAGAGCTGCAACCTCAGCTGCTTTACTGCTTTTACCTTCCAACTTCACTCAGGTATGATATTGTGGAATCTGGTTCTGCTTCTTAGTACTTGTGTATGAATATACTAGATTTAAACACGTGTGATGCACGGGTTTTATTCATAGTTAAACTTAACATTTAATATTTAATCAAAATAACAAAATATTAATACATAATATTACTATTTTTTAATCTTATATAATTAAGGTTCACACATACAAACAAATTCTAAATCTTCCAGGCTTTCATCATCCTTTGTAAATCAATTGTTGATCGTGCCAATTGATAAGTTGCGTAATTAAGCCCGCCCCTTTGAATTGCAAAATTAACATCCTTGCAAAATTAACACTTATAAGTTATGGCTGACTTTTTAATTATGATCACTATGCATTGCATTCAAGAATTTCATGGTGTTCAAATTCTAAAGTTTTACGTTTATTTGTGTGGAACATGAGATGATTTATGTAGGATTGAAAAAATACCGGATTCAAAGTGGTGATAAAGTTTATTAGATATGATAAGTTTTATTAACGTAGAACTTAATCTTTTAGCTGAATAAATGAAAAATGATGAACAGTTTTTTTTTTTGCTGGAAAAAGAAAAAGGATATATTTTAGATTTAATGATTTTTTCTTATTTTTTGTATCTAACTCAAAACTGATATTTTTTATTAGTATTTTTTTAAAAAAATATTTTATTATAATCACTTCTCATATTTCATTATTTTTTTTTATTTAATCCTATTTTTTTTTTAAATCAATTGAAGATTTTATCTTATTTTTTCCATTGAATTCAAAACTGATATTTTATTAGTATCTTTTTTAAAAAATATTTTATTATAATCACTTCTCATTTTTCATTATTTTTTTTATTTAATCCAATTTTTTTTTTAAAAAAACAATTGAAAGTGAATTTCATTTTTTAAGTTTAATAGTATTTTTGTATGATACGAAATAAAATAAATTGTTTATTTTCTCTTAGATAAAATTTTCAATTTTAAATGATAATATTTTATTTTTATAATAAATTTAAATATTTAATTTTAATCCTACGTGGCGCTTTAAAATAGTATTCCTACTTGGCATAATCCTGTACGTAACGCTCTACAAAGACTAATCCTACATGGTGCTCTAATAATTTTTAAAAAATTAAAATCTTACGTGGCTCTCTAAAATATTGGGAAAAAACTCCCCTATATATACTAGTTTTGTGCCCAGGCGATGCCCAAATGGTTGATAAAATTTTAGTATAAACTTTTTGGCTTGAATGTTAAATACGGTTCTTTTTGATAATGTAGGACATTTAGACATACGATATCATATCGCTTATTTATATAATAGTGTACTTTTTAAAAAATATATTTAATTTATCAAAAAGAATTACTCCCTCTGTCCCACTTTACTTGCTACATTTTGACTGATGCACATGTTTGACCGTTCATATCTTTTATTATATAAAAGCTATAAAAAGTTTATATTAAGAAACTATACATTAAAATAGACCTAACAATATCTTACATGATTACACTAGCTTTCATATAATAGCTAAAAAAGATGGTCAAAGTGAGATGTGTGAATAGTGTAAAAAGTCAAAAAGTTGCGAGTAATTTGGGACGGAAGGAGTATTCAAATAGTATAAAATAAGATATTTATGTTATTATTGACTTGTAATTATTTTTATTATATTGAACTGAAATTATTATTATTGAACTAAAAGTATTATTACCAAAACTAAAATTATTTTTCTCGATTACAACTTATTTACACTGATTCTATATTATTTTTTAAAATAAATTAAATATATTATAAATGGATGTTAACACGAATTTTATTATAGAAATAAAACTGAGTAGTAAGATATTTATTAAAAGTTATGATTAATTTTGTACCTATGAAATGTTAGAAGTATATCAATAATAAAACTCTATACAATATTTTTATCCATAAAAATCTATCCAAACCTCGTTATTTAGCATCATGTGTCATAATAATACCTATTTGTCGCCTACGTGGCTCGACACTTGGCATTTGGCGGAAAACTGGAATGCCAAGTGTCGGTGTCGATGTCTCGTGGCCTGGCCTGCGAGACCGGCTTTATTTATTAGTGTTATGATATTAGATTCTTATTTTGAATTGACGCAGGAAGACCTTTATGCAAAAATCTGCAGTCTTTCTTACAACGGTGATTTGCGAATGCTTTTTGCAGAGGACAGGCATAAGGTATGCCCAATGCTTTGCTCTTTTCATGAACATAACTGTATGCATCAATTTTATTCCAAGGTTTCCATTAATTGGGTGATACAAATCTCCAGTGTATTTGTTCTTGATGCGTGTGTGAAAGCTGGTAGCAAAGGTGGATATTATCTAAAAATAACTCTTTCTGATCTTGTTTTATTGCTTTATCTTTGTTACTCCATTTTCATAGAGTAAACTACTTCTTTATGTTTAATCTTGTTTTGTTACTTTGGTAGCATTTCTGGTTCTATATTTATCCCTTATATTCTGTATTGGAAATATTAATTTATAAATTCTTTACATATTTATTGGAAGACTAAATTGTTTGAGCTTTCATGAAGATTTGTTAAAGTGAATTTTCTTGTGAATGTCTGAAATTTGGAAAATATCTTTTTTCTTACATTTCAATGGAATTTTCTATACCGTTAAACGACATTGTTGGTATAGTTCCAATGTGATTAATTTCACAGTTGTTTGCTGAAAACAGTTTATCTGCGGGGTACCTGGTTTCTGTGTAATTAGTTGGCAAAAGCTCCTGGGCAAACAGCATGGATTTTCTGTTGTACTCTTTGCTTTTAAAATCATACATATCTACCTCAAAGTATTTTTTGTTAATACTTACCTTGTCATTAGCCTTAACTTCTTGATAGTGTGTGCCTCCTAGTACCATGTTGTAAACTTATAACTAGTTCCTCTTTTATTAGTTCAGAACAATTATTTTCCTCATCCACATTGTGTTTTCATCTCTCCATTTGCTGCAGGTGAGAAAGATTGTGCAAGGACAGTTTGATTTGTTCAGGGGAATTTATACGCCAGTTTTGGAAGAATTTGCTACCAAAGACTTGTTAAAGTTTTCATCATCTGATGCTCACCAGAATAATATCACTCAGGTACAGTAAACCTGCCAAAATTTTCAACTGAAACAATATTCCTTTTATATCTGTAATTTGGAAAACATGTGAATGTTGTTATTACAATATAAGTGCGCTGCTACCTTACTGAACATGTATAGATTTCTGGTCAACATATGGAAAATTCTTTTGGTCACGTCTATGGTAACAGAATGCTGAACTTGACAAACTGATTAATGATACAGAGAGTGGGGAGAGGGGAGGCAATGTCAAGAGATTGGTGTGGCCTCTCTGGCCTTGTGGAAATAATTTTTAGTTCTTGGTGTAGTAGTGTCATAGACTCATAGTGAAGAGTATTGAGGATGTTATTAGGAATGTAGATATATAAAGGAAAGTTGGATGTATGTATCTTGAGGATAAGATAAAAGGAAACTCATCTATGTTGGTTTGGGCATGTAAGGCATTGACCCCAGAGGATGCACCAGTAAAGAAGGTGGAATGTTTGGAGACATCAAAAGCCCAAGGGAGGCCAAACATGACTTGGATAGAGGGATTTGAGAACAAATTAAAGAAAGTGGGTTTGCAATAGCATGTAGCACTAGGTAGAAGTGAGCGAAAGAAGAGGATCTTCGTGGATGACCACCAGAAATAGATTTTTGGTTCATGCTGCTGACCCCATCCTTTTGGGAATAAGGCTTTAATTTTATTGTTGGTGTAGAACTTGTCTATGGCTCCTGAGGTATTATTGACGAGCTACTGAGCAAGCATAGTGGAGATTCTCCAATTGCTATTTTCCAAATAAAATTACTATTTTTTGTACAGTGGTTCTCACATTTCACTGAGGGAGTCTAGTTTTTCAATGTGATTGCAGCAATAAAGTTAACCTGAAGATCAACATTCAGCAGTTATTTTCTTCTTTTAGTGCTCCAGAAAATGAATTTTCTGATGGACTGATAATTGAAACCCTCAATGAAGACTGTATAAGCCTTCTGGTTGCTTCATTATGCAATTAGAGTGAATAATTTGTCAGTCAACTTATTTTTAATCTGTAACTGACAATGAGGAGAAGCACCCTTCTGATAATTTCTTACAAAACTTTAATGACATTACAGAGTACACTAAATTTTAGGGTTTCTGGATGACGCTAATTCTTCTCCTTCAATTTGCCTGCCATTTCTATTCTGCCTATGGGAAATTTTCGTTTTTTTTATCAAGGCTATTGATGTATTGGTGATAAAAAAAAAAATTAGGTCTAGCAACCATTAACTATAGTTGCTTATATACAAATTGGTATTCGTAAGATTAGATTTGTGTTATTTTAGTATATTAGTCACAATTGTTTCTGAATTCAACGCACTTATAACTTAACCTGCTCAACTGAAGGGAATATTACTGCAGTTTTTATGCTCATGGTTCAAGGATTTGCACCTTTCCGAGAATTTTAGTTGTCATGCAAGGATATACTCTCTTCATTCCACAATTATTTAACATAAGTCAAATCATAGATTACAAGTAGGGAAACATTGCAGGATGGAGGGAGGTTATTGACAAAATAATGTGGTCTCTGCATGGGAATCTCATTATGCATAGTAAAATAGGATACTACATTGGCCACTAGGTGAAAGTGCTGTTGAGTATGAAGGGTTTCCTTTTACAATCCCTGGTTTAGACCTAACAAAAATTGACTCGACCCTAAAACCTGATTAAAAGCCGTTTGGAAATGAAGAGTCTTGAACATAAAATTTCATCCTACGAAAAATAAACTCGTTGAAACCTGAACTTGCCCAACTCAAAACAGACCCGACTGTTACCCAGGTTAGTCTCCAAGGATTTACATGTAATAATCTTGGTAGCAGTGTTGATATAATTTGGGAGAAAATATTAATAGGGAATATGTTCGAATTTGTTCCAAATTTTGTTTTAGTTTAAAAACCTGCTTAAGAACAAGCCTTCATATCGAGAAATGGCAATTCCTGAGAAAATATTTATAGGGCATATGTTCAAATTTGTACCAAATATTATTTTGTTTTGTTTTAGAAACCTGCTTAAGAGCAAGCCTTCAAGTCTAGGTGTCAGTTCTTTAAATTATGAAATGGGTTGCTTTTATGCAGTCATACTTCTGAAAGAGATAAACTTGCAGTATCCTTTGGAGGCTAATGATAACTGATGCTACTCTGTTAAAGATTTCGGGCTTCATGCCAGTGGTCAGTAGCATTCTTATTCTAGTTATCAGTGATTTCTTATTGCTTGAGAAAGTAGCCAAATGTTGGCATGATCAAATCACAGGTGATTAGCATAAGTGACAGATAATGGATAAGCAGAGAACAGTTATAGTCTTATAGATAACAATTGTTTTCAGCTAATAGTATTAATCCTGTATCAGTGAAAAGACAGCAATTGCTTTCAGCTAAAAGTATTAATCCTGTATCAGTGATTGATTGTACACAAGTAATATCAAGCCTCATCATCCATCAAGCTTCTTAGTCCATGAGATGGCCCTGCCTTTGTTTTCTCTCGGAGCTTCTAATTTGGGTTGACATTGTTGAAATTATGGTTGCTTCTTATATAAGGCTGCGATTTTTCTGCATGACATTGACTGTCCATCAGTTTGGCCAACCACCTGGTGCATGTTTCCAGGGGATTCACTTAAACATTCTGATTTACTTGCTCTCCCTTCTGATGCATTTTCTTTTGCTAATCTTTTTCAAACATATAGGAAAATAAATGCTTTTCTGGTCTAGGACAGTGTTTCAGCACTACTGTGGTGGAATCAGATCTTTTTCTTTCTTCTTTGGGGAGGAGGAGAAGAGGTGCTTGATGGTTAATAGAGGAATTCTTAATGTTTTTTAAAAAAAAAGTAAAAATATTCTCTGTACTCTGTTGTTGTTGTTGTTGTTGTTATTGTTTGATGGTTGATATCCCATACTAGCAATGACTTTAAGGGGAGAAAGCATGTGGACACTCTGCTTTCTTTGTGATGACCAAGTATACTAAATAGTTCTGTTTCTAATTGGCTGTTCTGAATCTCAGGATTGTGGTTTACCTGCAGTCCAGTCCCTTGTCTCTCGTCTTCCTAAAGCAGTGAGAAACCATATGAGCATGAATCTCGGGGACCAGCAAAAGTTGAAATCTGGTAAGAAGCCAATGATTAATTGTTTGTTGGTTCATGCAATTAACATATATTTGCAACAGTCTTTTTTTTTTTCACCTTCCATATATTTGCTTTCTCTTGGTATATTATTTATAGCCAAGGCTTATTTGATGTCAATGCAATATATTCATCTAATTAGAAAGCTTTTATGCTGCTTGGTACTCCGTATAAATTTTCATTACTAATAATTGTAGTAGAAAACAAAGTGCAGAAAAGTAAATTGCTAAATCACCCTTAATCCAACACCAACCCCTGTTCTTCCCCGTTAGATACTGGCCTGTAATTTTTGGTTTTGCTTGGGCCGGGCAAAGACAAAGCTTCACCTTCGCCTGAACCAGGGGAAGAAGCTTCTTTTCATTTTTTTTTGGGTATTTTTTATCTTTTACTCTTCTGCGTCTGTCGTTAACTGTCTACTCTTATTTTTCATATATCCACAGGTCAAGATGCTTATGAAGCTGTAATAAAATCCAGAGCCGAGGCAGCAAATTGCCTGGAAAAGATTATAAGACGCAAAGTCATGATTTCCAGCGTCCGGCAGGCTGTTGCTGGTGTTTTGACAGTAGGTGCTGTCAGAGCTACTAGATATCTTTCAAGTAAGATGAAGAAGGCTTGGAAGTCCTGGCTTTAAGATTGATCAACTACTGTAATGTAATCTGACCATTTTGGCTTCTACGAATTTGTGACCAGCAACATACTGAAGGTTGTCTTCAACACCACTGCACCAGCACTCTTCACAAGTCAAATTGGAGCTGATTGGAACTATACGATCATGGTACTTGCCTTGATGGGATCTTTGAGAAACTAAGATTAGTGTGCATAGGTTAAGATTATAGAGAAACGAGTCCATCTTTGATAGAGAATAGGAAATTTTGCTATACAATATCTAGAAGGCTTAACACTGTTTGTAGCAGTTTTTAACTGATAAAAATTTAGCTTCGTTCTTTGGCTTTTTACATCGCTGCAATTGTAAGATAAGTCTAATTTTGTTGATAATTGGTGACTGGATGAATTATTCTATAGCTCTTTTTAGCCAAAAGTTGATTGCCCTACAAGGTTGTGCTCTACACTTTATTAGGTTGTGCCCTACAAGTTGATTGCCCTACCCATTTGATGTTAGGTTTACATAAACATTTTATGTTAAATACTCGTAATGTTTATTGTTTTTCATGATTAGATTTAACTAATCAAATGAGTTGCAAAAATTTGAAGGGTCAGAACGTAAATTAGGTCTATATATTACTCTTTCTTGAAAATTCTGATGATGCTGATAAAGAAGATGATGCGAGCGAACATGATGAGTATGACAACTGTGACGAGCACATAGTATCTCTGAAGGGCTATCAAGCTCTTATTGTGTTCTTTGAAGTCATTAGCGTTGGAGTATCTCTTTTGGTCTATAACTTTGTACTTAATTTTGGTAAGATCCTGGTAATTACAATTAGCCTGTATTCTTATGTGGCGGTTTTAAGTGTTTTAATTACCTTCATCCCCAAATTCTAAGATTACCAGAGACCAACTGTCATATCAAGCATACATTTCAGTTTTGCAAATATGAAATCATTTCTAAAAAAATGGCATACATAGTAATTCAATTGGTTAATATTTGCACACCTAATAATTGGGTTAGCATAATATTCATTACAATGAGAATTCAGGAAAAGTTAAAAGAGCTATATGGTTGAATGTCCAATACGACCTGATAATTCACAATTGTACTTGTCGCAGTTATACAGGAGATAAGAAGCAATTGAATAAAAATCATTTAGACGGGGTTTTAGATATGACGGAATTATCTGTTGCACGATTGCACCCAGCCAGCCACCCCACCTCATTATCCCTACACCATGCTCATCATAAGAAATCACTAAGAAAAGTTTAAATAAACAAGACAGAATTGGGCTACAAATTCTAGATTGATAGACCTGTAACTTGTCAAACAAATGAATAGCACCTATTTATGAAACATGACTTACATCAGCTCTTGTGAAAATTTGAGGAACATACTAATATGTTTTACTTAAGAAAGGTACAACCAAGGAACAAAGAAAGAAACACTGGCAAAGAAGTAAGGAGTTCTAGAGACCAAGTCGGTGGTAATATAGCTGCTGGTACCATCGGACCCACACAAGAACCACAAATCCAACCAGCCACAAGGGACCCAAATCTGTCAGAAAGAAGAATAGTGGGTCACCAAAAGAAAAAGGAGGCTGAACATAAATCGGCTTCACACTAGCATGAGCAGTTGCAAATTTGGTCAACTTACCCAATAATAGCAGACCTCCCTAAGCTCTTTGTCTTGTCATTTAGGAAGTATATGCAAGCTCCCAGAGAGATAGCCACCTGCATCATCAAGTTTTTATTGTTTAAACAAAAACAATACTTCGTTCCTCGTAGTTTTAGATTTTTAGAAATTATGCTAAACTATATAGGAATAGTATAGATGATCTGGAGTGAAACTGTAAAAAAATTCAAACTTCCACTAGGTTGGAAAAGAAATCCTTCTATAACTAAATACAGACATTAGCAGTTCAAATTTACATATTGTAAAAATCAAACAGCCCAAATAAGTGCAATGATCAACAGATGCTCCCACAGGATACAGCTCCTCTTTCTACCCTCCCCTGGGTCTGGGAAAACAGCCCCTCTCCCCATCTTCAGCTACTCAGCAATAATCAAGTTCAACACTGCTGCTATTAAAAAGACTTTACATCTTAGAATATATGCCAAATGATGACGACTTTCTCCAAAATAAAATAAAAAATAAAAATGATGAGGATATGTTATACAGAATTCACGAATTGGTACAGAGAGCTCAAAACAGGTTATGTTGAACAGTAGTTTAGATTATTTGAGTCACTGGTGGCTAAAAAGGGAGCATAACAAGGCCATAAAACTTCACCAGCAGGAACTAGAGTCGATAAAATAGTGTGCAAACAATCCAAATCCAGTATTCCTCAAGGGAAAGGTGGATGGAGTACCTGATAGGATAGGAGGGATGACATTATAGAGAAGAAAATACAAAAGGCAAGCCTATTTTATCCGTGACATTGCACAGCAAAGGCCTCTTAGCTAAGTGAGCTGTGAAATCTTAGGGGATATTGGATAGCAAAAAGTTTGAGATGGAAAACAAAAGGCATGAACCGCATGATTCATGAGCATGAATTTCAATTCCAAGATCATTTTAAATAAGTGCGTCATATAGTTGAGAAGGCTGTAACAGAGTAAACTACTGGTGAGAAAATTAACTCCAACCAGTGGGGTATTCAGAAAGTACACATGTTAACCATCTGTGACAACAAAATGTATGCCTCTACAAGTTGCAACTATCGCTTTCGACAAACAAAGCTATCACTATACTTTGTGAGTCTTACTAATTGCATTACAGTCCACATTAGGAGAGATTTCCACAAGTTTAGAGCCGAAGGTCTATGTACCCATCATGCCGTGACATGATAAAACATCTCAAAGTTCTGATGCATATGGTAGTTTTCTTAGTGGATTGCCCATTTCTTTATTGCCTTCAACCTCCATCCTTTGGCAAAATGGATCATATATAGATATTGCTAACTCGCTAAGAGTGAAAAAGTATAGATATCTCAGGACAAGATTGTCAAATGGCTACACTGTTACACATTATTGTACCTGATACCTTTATCAATGCCTTTGATAAAAAAAATTGTACTGTTTCCTCACTTCAAAATCTGTTAACTTACAAAATTACTAGGGGATAGTGGGCTATGGTAACAAGTCTAAAAACATACCTGAAAGGGTTCAATCTGTCAAAAGTTTCTTGAGGGCCTATGTTCTCCGCATTGATGTAATTGACACAGATTATCACTGGTTAAGTGTATACATCATTCCAGGGAGTATTAACAGAGCATTGATTGCTCAATGAGTTCAGACGGAATAGGCAAATGTAGGTCATCAATTAAGTTGCTGAACTAAACAAAGTAGCAAAAAATTTAAGAATCAAGAGCTAACACAAATTATTAATTGTGTAACTTCGAGATACAACAGCTGAAGGGCACAAGGGCGTAAATCAGGTGAGTGCGTTATTACCAGACTGAATTCAAGTATATTAACTAATCTAATTTGAATGAGCACAGTTTTCTCGATTAATTTTTGGAGTTTACACGGATGGTTTTTAATCTGATTGTTGTTTCAATTTTAAGTCTATTAATTTTGCTTGATCCTTGTTTACTCTAGTCAAAACATCAAAGCCAGGGTTCAGCATCTTCTGGTTTTTAGATCCCTTTTTTCTAATCCTTGTGCAAAATCAATGGATGAAATACATCACTTGATGAAATGTTGTCTGCTATGAGATATTCACGTAAATTTATTGCGAAGAGGCTACACATTTCAGTAAGTCAGCCCCTATTTCTCTTTTGAGGTGTACAAAGTACATCCTAACGTCTAAAGGACTCCTAATCTCCAGGCCATTATTCACCTATTATTGAATATGCAATGAACAACCCTATCCCAAACAAAACCGGAAAAAAAAAAAAGGAACAAAAGGGCCACTACTCCTTATAAGAAGTTTATCTATACCAAATAACATGAAAATCACATACTTAAACCAACATCAGAGCTTTCACAAAGGCCTCATCCACATAGCTTGAAGTCTTGAACCAAAGCCCAAAATAAAACAATATTATCAAACTAGATTGATGAGATTATTCATAAGCCGGTTAATTCCTACAACTAGAACAGATTTTGATTGCTGGATACACATTCCACCAAAGAATCTTCTCATTGTTATCCCACCCAGAACCAACAAATTTCCTACATCTATATAATCAGTGTCCCATAAAACTATCTGACTCTTCCAGACCAGTGAAATTCCAGATCAAACAAGGTCCCAGGGTACAATTAAAAAAAAAAAAAAGTCACAAAAATAATAAACAGATGCATGACATACCTGAAAAGCTGGTCCACCTTCAGCAGAATTCATTATACTCCAGCCAGCCATGAATGCAAACAAAAACAATCTTCTAAGAATAATGACAGTTGCGGGAAGCTCAACAAAATTGAGCAAACTCTTCACCCAAGGAGGAGACTCCTCGACTTTCTTCTTCAACCTTGTCTTCAAGTTGATCTTTGTTTTCTTCCTCTCCGAAAAGCTTCTCATAAGAAGCTTCTCAAAGGCAGCTTCAATAGACTCCACACTTCTCTCATCTCCAGCATATTGCTGTGTAAGAAAATTGCGAGAGCTCCAGATTTCATCCTCAGCAGCATATGGACTTATGCCAAGGCGCTTGTAAGGATCCCAGACATTCAGCCTTGGAAACTTTGGTGCATTTCCTATAATAAATGAAAGAAATTACTTTAACAGTCACAGCAACAAAAGCTGTGGATACAAAGTACAAAACAAAACACACCCTTTCCACAAACGCCTAATTCCATACGACACAACCATCAACTCACCAAAACTAGAGTAACATATATGTCTATTTGATGGCATCATTTGATATCAAATAATGTATTCACTCTTCCTAAGATAAAATGGCTAACATAAACTAAACTCTTCTATATTCAAGCTCTTCTATTTCATCTTTCGGCATGTTCCAAAAACAGCCATGAACTCCCATCTCATGGTACTAGGTTAAAATCACCAATTTCAAAACCCAAAACTTGGAGTATCAAACCAACTAATACCACACATGACACACCCAAAACCCAAAAAAAAAAAAAAAAAAATCAAGATTTCACAAAAGCATATCAGCAAATAATCTATTCTCACAAAAAACAATCATCGAATTCAACATCCAACTCTTTTATACGGAGTAGTTTCCTTTATCTTGAAGCATTATCAATTCTAGAAGTAACCAATAATTCCTTTCACACTCAATCACGCTTCAAATCAATAATCACACCACAATAAAGAAAATCAACAAAATTCACCAAAAATTAATAAAATTCAAACTCTAATGTAGAATTAGTACCTCCATAAGGCGCATCAACAGCACATCTAGGCAACCTTAAATTTACTCCATGCGTCGCTAAATTCCTTGTATTCTGGCGCAAAGAACTGCACAAAAATCACACAAAAAAATCGGTAATAATATTAAGGCAAAGAATTGAAATTCGTAAAGGATAAGAGAATTACACTTTGTGACCGAGGAAAGGAGTGGACAAATTAGGGTTAGCAAGCAAAGCAGCAACCATGTTTGAGTTGAAAAATGGAAGTTGCCGAGAAGATGAAGGTGGGTCAGAAAAACACCATGGGAGAGGCTGCTGAGAGCTGATAGCTGATGAGAGAGAAAGCGTTTTGGGTGGTTGTGTTGGAGAAGAGAGAAAGAAAGAGAAAGTGGATTGTAATCTTTTTGAGTTTATAAACTTGTAATTTCTCGTAATCTCTTGGACTTATGGATATTGTAGCGATTATGGGGCGGGTTTGCCACCGAGGTTCCGTTTGATTTGATGTAAAATTCTTTTAATAAAAAATTAGTTTTATGGAAACATATTTACAAGGAAAATCACAATTGTAAGAAAGTTTTTATGTTTGGTTCTAACAAGAAAAGTAAAAGTGAAATTAAACCAAACGGGGTCTAAGTGAATGGTTCAATCTGAGACCAATCATGGAAAAAAAAAAAAAATCACCTACAACCATTGTACAAGTCATGTGGTGCAAGACAGTCAACACCCTTTCTTTCTACCACTTACAAGTAGGAATGGCAACGAATCGAATTTGGATCGGATGCGGCTAAATCAAATCCGATCCATTTAGTAAATGGACCCTGGACTCGGATCCGAATCCGAAAAATTCGAGTCCGATTCGACTCGTAATTTTAGGATATGAATTCGGTCCGTTTATTCGGACCTCCAAATGACCCGAATACCATTTTTTTTTTAAATGTGTGATATACCTATAATTGCTTGTATTGTCCCTAATAAACTTTATTTCTTACATCATATTGGTGCGTAAAAAATTAGGAAAATAATAGGGTATAAAGTCTAAACATAACATATTTAAATTATGAATTAAGTTACATAACAAAAATTTGCTTACAAACAAGCAAGCAATTGTCCTAATTTGAAATTCAATCAATAGGGTTGCAACTCACAACACAGAAAAAAAATTTGAAACTCATGTGAACAAAAACGCAGAAAATTAATAACAACAATGAAAATTAAACACAAGAAGTTCATAGGAAATTAATTTAATGGCTATCAACAATGGAATACCAATTGAAAGAGTTTATTGATTTCGAAGCTGAGTTACTAGTAACACCAATTAACTATGGTTGAAGCTTTCAATTTAACGTCATCCATTGCGAGTTAAATGACACTATTCTCTATAACCATCTAATTACCATGATACCCCTTTTTAGGGGCTAAAAATGACAATAATAACCCTAGATTGGAGATGAATCGAGTTCTGCTCTATGTTAATTAAAGATTCAATATAAATCTTTAAATTTTGGATTACAAATGGGTTACACTTCAGGTTTGCAGGTTGTAGCTGCTGTCGGCTTCAATTACGCATAACGCCCTTGTTCATGGACTCATGGTGTGCCACTGCAGGTGGCCATTTGGGAATTAATTAGAAGATCAAACCCTCGATTACAAACAACCAATACAAGCATGCAAGGTAAAAATTATCATTGCTCTAACTCATTCAAATATAAAATTTAACTTTTTTTTTTAAAAAAAAAATTAGTAAGTTCAATGAACCCGGTTGAACCCACCGTGGATCCACCCCTGATTTAATATGAACTACTAAAGGTAAGCAATTAAACAACACGAGTAGTGAATATACTACCTCCATTTTTTATTAGTTGACACGTTTTGACTTTAGCACTATTCGTACACTTTCCTTTGACTGTGTTTTGTGATTTAATTGTAATAAAAAATATAGTGATGTGAGATCTTGTTAGAATCGTTATGATATATATTTTCCAAATATCAACTTTTTATAATTTTTGCTTATCGGAAATTTAAGATATTAATGGTTGAATTTTTGCATTGGCAAACGTGACTAAAGAGACGTGTTAACTAAAAGGAAATAGAGGTTAACCAAACGGTGAAAAAAGGAAAAAAAAAAAAAAACTTTGACTACCTAATTGGTGAAGTTGGTAAAACTTAGGGGGCATTGGTAGGAGGGAGTTTGGATGGGAATGGGAATTTTTATCCCAATGTACAAAAACTCCCTAGTTTGGTAGAAGGGAGTTCGGTGGGAATGGGATTTTATGTCCCAATTAATAATACCGGGAGGGTCAGTATTAAAATTGGGAATTATTTTAACCATAAAAAGACAAATTTATCCTTAATAATAAGAAAGGAAAAGAAAAAAAAATAATAGTAAAGCTATATTAGTAAATTTGTTATATATTCCCAACTTATTCTCAAAACTAGCCAAACACGGGAATTAATCTAAATTTCCAATCCCATTCCTTTCATCTAATCTCCAAATTCCCATTCCCACTCGCCAAACGACCCGTTAGGGTTAAACTCCACAATTAGATGTAAAAAAAATGTAAGTATTCATCATTATATTACTACTTCCAAAATGAATGAATGGCCAACAAACAAAAGAGAAATGTTTCATTGATATACAAAAACCCACGCATTATTGCATCACTTCATCATCCAAAAAGATGGGGAAGTGCTTACTCTCATCTTCTCCCTTAAAATTTAATCAACTACCCTCTCCAATTCGAACTTTCAATCAAAAAACCCATCAATCTTCTGGTTGTTTTCTGGGAAATTCAATATCTTTAAAACATGGGATTTTTGGCAAGGAAATTTCATTGAAGCCAATACCATCATTTTCTTCATGTTCATCAAGAGTATCACTTAATACCAGAGCTGTTTTGTCTGGGACCCAATACCCTAAAGTGGGTGCTCAATCAATTGGTCCAATTCCTGCTAATCAACTTCTTGGGGTTGTTGAAAAAGCTGCCAAAACTGGCGCTGAGGTTCTTACTCTAAACCCAGAATTCTTAATTTCTTTTGATTTATGTTGCTTGATAATTTCATGTATGTTGCAAATTGTGAGCTATTAGCTTTGAACATTTTGTGGTTTGCTCATTTGCTCTCACAGAATATCCAGGTTGAAATTTCCCAATGTGCAGTTTCTGCTCTTGTTAGTTAGTCCCTAGTCACTAAATAATAGGACACATTTCATTCGAGTCGGTTTTTTTTTTTTTTTTGATGAATTACTGTCCTCTACTGATTAATACAAGTACCTTCTAGGTCGCATTTGATTAGGAGCTGAATTTAATCAGGGTGCACTAGAATGAGTATATGAGGTTTATGTCTTTGAGTGGGGGAGTCCTCAAAACAAACAGCTTTATTCTAATAATCCCCATTGTACAAGTGCTTTGTATTTTAATTAATCAGCACTACGCTGAAGTTTGTGGTTGTTTGAGAGACTTCTGTAAATTATGAGAGCTAGAACTCGTGTGTTGTGGAATTGTACGGCGCCTTGAGTATTGGTTTTGGTAATGGTGTTCTTTATCTATCACAAGTAAAACACATATAAGTTGGATATTCTAGAATGTTATGTAAACTAATCAAATGTTGCTTACAGGAAAACCACCTATTTCCAAATGTCAAATAAAGAAAGATCTCCAATATTTTGTTTCTTTACTTGGTCGTGCTTAACACTTTTCTGCATTAATGAATTATCAAGCCTTCCTTGATAGCATTTTTGGTGTATGTAGCTCTCAAGCTGCTAATGATCTTAGTAGTGGGTAGCCTTTTAATTCTCAACTAATTAGGGTATTTGTTTTTTTCTTTCAGGTAGTCATGGAAGCTGTTAACAAGCCGCGGAAAATTTCCTATAAAGGACTTACTGACCTGGTGACCGAGTAATGGATCCCTAATTATTATTATCTTCTTTGATGATCTGTATCTGCTACTCATTGTATTCATCATCCATTCTTTTCATGTGTAACTAAGTAACTTCGTAAAAATCTGTCAACTAATGGAGACCTTACAGATTTAGGGTGTGATACCAGAAACTTGTGCCGATGTATGCACGCATGCTATGTGCTGCTGGTATTCAGGAGGAGCCGGCTTGAATGCTATGTAGACTGAGTATATACTAAAGGGAAATATAGTCATTGACTGACATAGAGAATTCTCGGAACCAAGAGAAGATTGGCCTTCACTTGTCAAATACAAGTAGATTAAATTTTTTTATTTTGAATTAATTTTCCCTGTTCGTTTGGGAGTATTCGATCCCCTTCTCACTCCACTTTTTACATTGCCCCATTAAATAGTATCTTATCATGTCCATGAACGTCTTTGTGAATGATTTGCTTGATTAAATGGTGTCTGTCTGTATCTTGACTAATCATACCTCTCCTTCTTATAGCACCTTCATGTACACTAGTTTCTTTGACAAATATTCAATTTTGTTCAGTTTAATTTCATCAAGTTTTAATTTAGAAGAATGTACCCTAAAGAGATGATTTCTGGAGTTTAATCATTCTCCGTGTATATGTAGTCTTTAATCAATTAATGTATTACTTCCAATTCTTGAATACGTGCTCATTTAAATTCTGAATCTTCTTGGCACTCCATTTATTTACTTTATTTCATTAATTTGAAGGACTAGAAATTTATCATCATATGGTTTTCTGTACAGAACAGACAAAATGAGTGAGGCTGCTATTTTGGAAGTTGTGAAGGAAAACTTCAAAGATCACCTAATTCTTGGTGAAGAGGGAGGAATTATTGGAGATGCTTCTTCCGATTACCTTTGGTGCATTGATCCTCTAGGTTCTTTCTCCCTTTTTGCTATTGCAATTTATGTTCATGTCTTGTGTCTATTTTCTCTGCTCTCCTTTACACGCTTGGTCTTGGAGTTCTCTTTCAGGTCCTTAGAAAATTGTGTTATTTTATTTTAACCAGGGTGTGCAGAACTTCAGATTACTGCTACTTGTCAAAGTAGACTGCTTGTGCTTGCTATTCTAGATGCCAAAAGAATTTCCATCATATTATCCCTATCCCTCCTTTAATTTTCCATTCTCTCCTCCTACATTAACCCCTGCCATACACTTCAACATTGGGTGGAACCATGGAAAGGAGGTCTAGCTTTATCATTTGCTTCATTATGCAAGTTGTTAAGCATCTTTTCTGCCACTTTCAGGCCTTATACATAGCACCTTATGGTTTCCTCATGTCCTATCCCTATATCTTCAAGATTTCATAAGTATCATGTTTTGAATGAAACCAGTTATTTAGGGGAAATATCTATTGTCAAAATTATTACAGAGATAAGCTATTATGTAAAATAATTAGGGAGCATATTAAAGTTTTAGATCCCAATCATATGTAGATGATAAATTTACTGATCTCCTGGTAGAATAATATTTTACGCCTT